CATGCGCAACATGGCACTGTTAATACTCTGATATTTTGCAGCTGTTGATGGAATCAGCCTCTCTGAGAGCTACCACAGAGTTCGGGAAACCTTACTACCAGCCGGCCTCAGAACCATTAAACTGAGTTTTAGAGCTGTACCCTCATATGGAGATAACAGGAAGAGTTGCATAGCCATTATCAAGGAGGCATAAGCAAAATTCTATGAGTAGAGTCAAGGAGATCCAGCATTCATCATCCTAGGCAGGAAACAATGTAGCACAGGTTACATCTACGCCAGCCTAATAGATGAAGAAGGGGTTCGAGGCTGGTTAGCAGAATTTTTCTGCTTACCCCTAAAGTCTTTGCCTAGGAGGCCTTCTACAAGACAGTAGCAGGATGCAGTTAACATCTGCCCAAGATGAGTATTTTTATCGAGACACCATCTCTAGCCTTTACTCAACCAAGAGCCCCAAGGCAGGGGATGTTTAGCTGGATGCAGTTAACATCTGCCCAAGATGAGTGTTTTTATCGAGACACCATCTCTAGCCTTTACTCAACCAAGAGCCCCAAGGCAGGGGATGTTTAGCTGGATGCAGTTAACATCTGCCCAAGATGAGTGTTTTATCGAGACACCATCTCTAGCCTTTACTCAACCAAGAGCCCCAAGGCAGGGGAATTTTTAGTCGGAGTTTATTTCTCCTAGCCTTTGCATAAGAAGAGCACACTGCAAGGCAGCAGGGTTTGTGGCAGGTGGTACTGGGTTACGTGATACCAGTAGCAAGAATGATATTTGATTAAATGGATTTGCATATCCATTTAATCAAAAAAATTTTGGAAAGTCTGTTGGTACATTATGTTTTGTGATGTATTGAATTTCAATTTGCTTATATTCCCTATGTTCACAGTAGATGTAATGACATTTCCTAAATAAATGAGCGTAAAATAAATAAGCTTTAACTATTTGAATGTCATTTTGTTGATGATTACTGATCGCATTGAAAGAAATATTGTCTTTAAAAGATCTTGACATACTTTCATGAAAAATTACTTGTGATTGTTCTTGTATAAGTTCTATTGAAGACCTGGTCATTTTTTTATTTTGTGTATGACTGTCTTTTTTATAAAGTAGGATGTTAATTTCACACATTCTTTTACAGAAGATTTCAACTTTTTTGAAAAAAGTTCGTTCTCAGCCTTACCATTTCTTTTTTGATTTATATTAATCTAAATAATTTATAGGAATAAAAAAATACATATAAGTAAATACAAATGCTTAAAAACACAGTAAAAACAAAACGCTTGAAAAAAGTACTGATTTTTATGCAATAAGACAAAAACATTGCAGTATGTCATGTACTGGAATGTTTTCCTTTTGTAGCTGTGCTATATTTATTTTTTTAAACCAGTTCTATTGGTTAACATTAGAAAAAAAAACTTTCATACAATAATGTTGCTAAAAAAAAAGCTTTCATACAATAATGTTGCTATACATTAAAACTTCGACCATACAAACTCAGTTTAAGGTTGAATGCGTTTGGTTGAAGCAATAAAAAGTTTATGGTTAAATGCATAATGTTTGAAGCAATAAAATTTAATTGTCATTTTTGTAAATTATTGTGTTTTTATAGTTGGCAGAACTAAGAATTTTAAAAAAGCTTGAGGCAACACTAATTTTAATGAAAAAAAAAGCAGAACCATAAATTTACTAAAGTTTTGAAACCGGCCCATTTTTCAAAAGAAGGGTGAAAACCACCTTACTCATCCCCCTTCCTCCCCCTTGTTATGGCCTGTATATCAACACATTTTATCTTGCCTTTTATTTTTGTCTTATGATATATATGTAGGTATGCAGAAATCCACATTTTACGGAACCAATTTTGTGCCAAAATTCTGTTCCACATTTTTTCAAGTCTGCTAAGATTTCCACATTTTCAAGTCTGTTCCACATGTTCAAGTTTGTTCCACATTTTTTCAAGTCTGCTAAGAGTAAGTGTGGTTACAATGTGTTTTTTAACCTTTTTTTAAGAATTAGATATTACTTTAGATATTTTTTAAAAAGTGAAGAGGTTAAACTTGTGTTTTTATTTTTCTAATTTCGAAGTTACTAATATTTATTATTAAGTTTATAAGTGTCAAATTCTTTGATGTCAATTGCTCATTAAATTTTTATTGAAGGAAGGTAGTGCGTACTTTTAAAACTATTTGCGTTTTTTTTTTATATCTACTTTCTAAGTTCCTACCAAATTTTATTGCATTATTTGCAAATTTTGGATGCACACATACATTACTACAATGCACAAAAAAGTTACATAATTTCGGCAATTTTGTATAATATTTGCTTTAGATTATTCACTGATTAATATAAAGCAAATATTCCTAAATAATTCGAGAAATAATATATACAAAACAGTTTATATCATAAACTGCTTTGTATGTCCATAAACAAATGCATCTGTACAATTAATTATGAAGTACCTAATAATTTAAGTTTCATAAATAAAAAGTGTTAATGCAACAATGAAATAATATTTAGAATAATAAAATGTCTAAAGATGTTACAAAAAGAAAAAACAAAAGATTGGTAAGAAAAGTTAGATTGGTAAGATATCTGCAAGAGATAACAAAATAGGTGAATTTTATTGTGTTTCTTGGTTCTTTGATTATTCAATTTTTGCATTAAGCTATTGTATTTTATTTGTCCATTTATATATATATATATATATATATATATATATATATTATATATATATATATATATATATATATATATATATATATATATATATATATATATATATATATATATATATATATATATATATATTAGATTAGATTATAATTTAAAATAAAATATACATACTTTAAGTATCAGTGAAATTCTGAATTATTTTAAAAACTTATCTACTTTTGCAAATTGATGACTTAAAAGATGTTATATGTGAAAGTTTTGTTGGGAGAAATTTTTGCCAAAAATAGTATGATACCGATACAGCAATGACAGTTTTGTATAATGGCAGAGTAGAAAAAATTAAATAAACACAGAAAGGCATTATATATACTATATTTTACTGGACTAAAGATAAAATTGATTTTGAAGCTGTTGATCATTATATGAAAAAATTCCAGCTGGTTGCTGACATTGTATCCAGTGAGTTGATGATTTCCTAATGCGAATATGTTGCCATATGTGGTAATATGTACAGAGAGTAGTGAAACTTGTACAGCAAGTAGTGAAACTTAAAAAAATGTACAGCGAGTAATGGAACTTACAAAAAATATATATTGGGAGTAGTGTAACTTGCAAAAAAATGTACAATGAGTAGTGAAACTTGCAACAAAAAAAAAATACTGTGAGTAGTGGAACTTGCAAAAAAAAGATAAAGCGAGTAGTGGAATTAGCAAAAAAAGTGTACAGCGAGTAGTGGAACTTGTAAAAAAAAGTGTACAGCGAGTAGTGAAACTTGTAAAAAAAAATGTACAGCATGTAGTGAAACTTGAAAAAAAAAACATACTGCGTGTAGTGGAACTTGCAAAAAAATGTACAGCCAGTAGTGGAACTTGCAAAAAAATATATATTAAGCGAGTAGAGGAACTTGCAAAAAAGTGTACAGCGAGTAGTGGAACTTGCAAAAAAATGTACAGCGAATAGTGGAACTTGTAAAAAAAATGTACAGCGAGTAATGGAGCTTGCAAAAAAATGTACAGTGAGTAGTTGAACTTGCAAGAAAATGTACAGCCAGTAGTGGAGCTTGCAAAAAATTGTAGAGGGAGTAGTGAAATTTGTAAAAAAAAAAATACAGCAAGTAACGGAACTTGCAAAAAATATATCCAGCGAGTAGTGGAAATTTCATTTTTTTAAATAGATTGTTATTATAGATTGTTATTATAATTTTATTAATGGAAATTAATATCTTAATAACTAACTATAAGCCAAGTTGCAAGCTAAATAAAATATTATAAAACATTTTTTGTTTTTTAAATTTTTTTCAGGTCAGAGGGGAAACCATCTTTAACTATGACAAAACATTGTCTGATGTATCTTGAATTTTAGTAAATAATACTTTTATATTAAAATTTAATATTTTAATCAATAGCATTTTAAATATTTTTTCAAAAGTCATTAAAAATAGAATTTTTATTTTTAGGTTGTAAAGGAGGGGGGAGGGGCAATATCGCGCCCCTCCCCCACCTACACCCCTTAAAACAATGATTGCGCTGCTAAAAATGTTGTAAAGTTGTAAAATATAATTTTTGAATGCTAGATTTCATTTTAATTACAAAGAACTTTGTAATTAAAATGAAATCACCCCTTAAAACAATGGTTGCGCTGCTAAAAATGTTGTAAAGTTGTAAAATATAATTTTTGAATGCTAGATTTCATTTTAATTACAAAGATAAATATTTATAAAAAAATAGTCATTTTTGATAATAGCGTGCTTGAAACTATCACCCTTACATCCACCCTAGGCAATAATGAAACTTCTATATTTGACTGTGGTCTGATAACTAACTACAAAATCATTTTGCATATAAAATTTATTATTTTCATTTTTAAAAAAAATACTTTTTTATAAATATAGTTAGTCATTATTGCCGGTAAGGATGGTGGTTTTTTGCCCCCTCTTGCCCCCGGATGCGCCCATAATCTAGAAACTTTAATAAATTTTCAGATATCTCTTGTATCTTCTGATAGCAAGATATAAGCTTTTGAATAAGAATTGATTAAGTTATAATTGTTTTAGTTAATAAAAACTTTATTTGGACCACAGTTTCTTCAACAAATCCTAGTATCAAAAAATTGGTACTTAAAATATCATAACTTTTTGTAAGGTGGTTCAATTTTGATTGGTGGTTCAATATTGAAATGAAGCTCTTTTTAATGATATATAATATCCTAGAATTTGATTAATTTAAAAATTTCATGTAGGATACCTATATTATGATCTAAATACCATCTCTATACTGAATACTTTTAAAATAAAATAATAAAAGTTATACACTGTCTATTAAATTTATTAC